TTTAGGGGTTAGGGTTTAGGGCTGGGCTTCTCGATCCTTTCTGCTACCGCGACGATGATGATGATGATCCCTGAGCCTTAAGCCCAAAACCTAGACCCTAAACCCCAAAACCCAGACCCTAAACCATGTATGATAGTTCCGTGGCTCGCACGCAAAATGTAACAGCCCCGTTTACAAATCAGAGCTTACTCGGGATTTAGTGTTTCGGGTTTGGATACGGCCGCAGTCCGCCCAATCTGTGGCGTTTCGTGCTGTATGTGGTGCAGCGATCAAAGCTATGCCTTAACTCCTCAACCCCACATCTACAAATCGAGAATCACGACAACCCTGTAGCCCAAAACCCTAAACTGAAAGAAAACCGCAAGCTAAATCCCAAACCCTAAACCCTAAACCCTAAATCTCTAAACCCTAGACCCTAAATCCCTAAACCCTAAACCCTTAAATTCCAAAACCCTAAATTCGAGCCCTAAGCTGATCCCCAAGATGCCCGCAGATCCTGATGACTTCAGTGCTGGGCCTTCACGTGCTCTGGATGGCAATGGAGCTGCAACTCTACGGATCTTTGATGGGAACCAAGGATGCAGACAGTGCAGGGTTTATTTAGGGTTTGTGGTTTAGGGTTTAGGGATCTTTGATGGGCACCAGGGATGCAGACAGTGCGGTTAAAGGGTTTCTGGGCTTACATGTAAAGCCGAGAATGTGGACCACTATGCTAGAAGACGGGTCTATCAAAGCTTTTTTCGAGCCACTGCAGGGGTCTATTAGTGGGTTGGAGGGCCACTATACCCCTAAACCCTAAACCCTACACCCTAAACCCTAAACCCTAAACCCTAAACCCTAAACCCTAAACCCTAAACCCTAAACCCTAAACCCCTAAACCCCTAAAGGTTTAGAGTTCAATTTTTGGTTCTCGGGGTTCTAGGCCCTCGTGTTTCACGTTGGAGGATTTCAAACCTTAGGGCCCCGGGGTTTAGGGCACTTTAGGCTATATTGAAGTCGGTTAGGGTTTAGGGTTTAGGGTTTAGGGTTTAGGGTTTAGGGTTTAGGGTTTAGGGTTTAGGGGGATTGAGGGTTTGGGCTTCGGGTATTTTTGGGGGTCTATTGATGACGGTTAGGGTTTAGGGTTTAGGTGCCAAGGGCCCCAACTACAGTCAGAGACTGTTCCTCTACCTGTAATGTAGGGGCCTTAATAACTAGAAGAGGGTTGCGGGGCCCATTATACTACAATCAAAATAAGGAACCCGCCAAACCCTATTCTAATTGTTAAGGCCCTTATATTACTTTGTGCGAATTCCTTAGTTGCGGATGTTGGCGCTTGCTTACAGGAGCCCTGGAAGGACTAGTGGAGAAACCCTCAAAGAAGCACTTAAAGGATCCGTTTTGAAGGAGCCTCTGAAAGAAACCTAAACCCTAAACCCTAAACCCTGAAAGGAACCCTTAAGGAGCCTTTGACAGGAATCCTTGAAGTGACCCCTTGATGACGAAGTCCTCAGACACAGCAGGTCTTGACCTTGGCATCCTTGAGACCAGTGACGTACCGAGATCCGAGTGGCCTCACTGCGACATGGCCAGAAACTGGGTTCTTGTTAAGGGATTTAATTTAAGTTACCATAATAGGGATCTATAGTAAATAGTATGGTTTCCTTATTATGGTAACTTAAATTAAATCCCTTAACAAGAACCCAGGAAAGGGGGGGAGGGGGTGTCTGGGGTTCGTAGGATTTGGGGCCCTAAAGCCTCAACCCTAAACCCTAAAACCCTAAACCCTAAACCCCTAAACCCCTAAACCCCTAAACCCTAAACCCTAAACCTTAAAAAGGTTTTCCGGGGTTTGGGGTTCTGAGGGTTTCAGGGTTTAGGGTTGCCAGGGTCGAGGGTTCCCAGCTTTTAGGGCGGAGCTTTCACATGTTTCAGTTTCTAAATCTTAAGCCCTAAAGTCTCGGGTTTCAATTGGGGGCCTCCGGGAGCCTAGAACCCTAAACGTAATTTTTCGGGTTCGGGGTTTATGGTTTAGGAATTTTTTGTTGCTTCATGCAGTGAGCAATCCTGGGCCTTTACTCTACCTGGGTTTCCTTCGCGAACTTCCTCTTCGGCGGAAGTGAGCACCCATGGCAAGACGAAAGGGCCCTCCCCCACAGATAACAAGTCTTTGGCATCAAGTCTGCCATCTGTTGTTGTCCTCTCTGTTTCGTGCTGTTCTTTAGTATGGCTGCTGCTGTTGCTGCCTGAGTTATCTAGGACCCGGCAAAGGGTTTAGGGATGAACGATTTATGTTTTGGGGCTTTTCGGTTGGGCTTCATGATTCAACGCTTGGGGTTCAGGCTGTCGGTCCGCTAAACCCTGAACCCTAAACCCTAAAACCCTAAGCCCTAAAACCCTAAACGCTGCACCCTAAAACCCAAAAGCCCAAACCCTAAACCCTAAACCCTCAACCCTCAACCCTAAACCCTAAATTGCTTAACCCATTCGAGGGGGTGCCATTGTTCGAACCCGGCCCTTAAAGGCAGAGAGTTCATCCCCGCACTGAGGGGAAGCCGTCTTCCGCTACGGCGACACGGCCTTCACAGTCTTCTTTACCATGGATGTGGTGATCCGAGTGAGCATTCTTAAGCTGAAGTTCTGGAAGGCGGGAAGCCTCGAAGATATCTGGGACAGAATATGAGATTCCTACATATTCCTATGATTGACACAGCATCTTACAAGGTTGCTACAGACTTCGAAGACTATTAAGTGATTTTTTGCGTTGCATTCCCTGAAGCTGAAGTTCTGAAAGTTTGGATGGAACGGTTTAGGACGATCCTGGATCTATCCGTCCAGCCTTTCCTCACCACCTTCCCTCGACGCATTTCTTTCCCTGTCGGTATATCTTCTGCCCCTGTCAGGTCTGCCTGAACTATGTGGACGTGGCTGTGACCGTCGCGTCCCTTTTCGAGCTCACTTCACGCGTGTTCCTCCTACCGGCGCGATTGTCTAAACAAATGGCCCTAAACCCTAAACCCTAAACCTTCAGCCCGAAGGCCTAAACCCCAAACCCCCCCACCTTGAGCCCGACGCAGACGCGCCCTGAACCCAAAGCCCAAAACCAGAAGGTGGAGGCCCTATACCCCAAACCCGTGTTAAAACCCTAAACCCTAAACCCTAAACCCCAAACCCTAAACCCTAAACCCTAAACCCTAAACCCTAAACCCCAAACCCGTGTCTCCCCTGCAACCCGGAAGGTGAATCCGGTCCTTTTCCGGCTACTTCGGATTTTCAAGTTGGCGCGAGCTCTTCGAATGGTGACTCGTTTTTGATACTCGGGGTTCGAAGGGTTTGGGGCCTAGGGAATGTAGGATCTCGGGGCGTTAGGGTTGGTTTGGATTTAGGGGTTTAGGGTTTAGGGTTTAGGGTTCAGGGTTTAGGGTTTAGGGTTCAGGCTTAAGGGTTTAGGGTTGGTTTGGGGGTCCTTAAGAGTTCTTTTGCCACATGCAGGCAAAGTTTTCGATGGGTTCTGACGCTTCAAGCCTAAATCCTAAACATGCCCAATGCTGGTACTGAACCCTAGACCCTAAACCCTAAACCCTAAACCCTAAACCCTGAAAACAACTTCGAGTCGGTCCACCACCACGACCACCACCACGACCACCACCACGACCACCACCACCACCACCACCACCACCACCACCACCACCACCACCACCACCACCATCACCATCATAATCATCATGATCATGATCATCTCTCTCTCTCTCTTTCTCTCTGCACGACACGGCAGCAAGGGTCGCGTCACGTCCCCTCGGTCAAAGCCCAAGACCGGCACCTTCCGACCCGTGAGGCCAGTGCACTCGTCGGGACAGACATGCTATCTCCGACACATTAACAAGTGGAACAAAGTGATGTACAAGCACCCTATTCAGGAACGAGCTACCAAGACTATGCGCAATTAGTCGCAAGCGATCACTGTAGCGGTGATGTCGCTTTGCACCATCAGCGGAGAGCGTCACCTGCCGTCCGCAGCACCAGCAAAGGAAAAAGGACGGGGAGCGTATTCAAATAGCACCCCGCGAGAAGCTGCATCTTTTGGGAAGCATCCTTGAATGGTGCACGTTCAAGCAAAGTTGACTGTCTGCCGATACAAGCGTTGCAACCGTTGCAACTGCACCCCCAGCAGAAGCAGAGGAGCAGGGTGAAGCTCGTTATAAAGCGTAGAAGATAAACCATCACAGTTCCACGAAAATATTTTAAGTTTTCTGCACCGACGCCCACCCTTTCCCCCCTCCTGAATCGTCAGGAGGGGGGAAAGGGTGGGCATCGGTGCAGATACGTTTCGCGCCTTGCTTAATTACCGCCCTTCTCAGCGATCGCTTCCGCGCAATCCCGAATGCGCGGGAATGTGCGCCTGTCGTTTGCCACACAGGGTGTGGCTTCCGGCATGCCCAGGGCGACAAAGCCAACCCTCATGCCCGCAGCACCGGCGGAATACTGTTGATATTGCTGTTGCTTGTGCTGCATCCGGACTTGGGACCGTCGTAGGCACATATCTCCGCGGTGTTCTCGTGACCTATGTGCACCCCGGAGATGCCGGAGATCACAGTGTGAAGGAGTGGCTTTGAGGGGATGCACGGGGGGTCGTTGACAGAACAGGAAAGTAGGCTCGGATACTATGTTGAGATATGATGGCTCACAAAGTCTGCGCCGCGGCGAAGAGAGGCCCCAGCTGGGGAAGTTTGATAAACGCCGAAGCCCACAACTGAAGGAAACCCACATTATCCAAGATGAAGCAGGAGTCCTCAATCATCTGTTGAGCGTCGGGGTCCATAGAGCAGGTCGACGACTAACGACAGCTGATGTTTTCGAGGCGAAGCGGAGCAGTCGATGATTATGTCCAGCGCCAGGGCACGCAAAAGAATCAGTTCAGAGCAACCATCGGCCATGGGTCTCTACTCCCCCTGTTTGAATCGCGGCATTTGATCATCACCATCATCACCATCATCACCATCATCATCATCATCATCCGTCGCACGTGCAGATGCACACTTCAACCGCAGCTTTCTGGCGATTGGGCAGATAGTGGGAACTACGGGTGGGCTGCGTGTGTGTGTGTGTGTGTGCACCTTGATTCTAAGCTAAGGCTAAGGGTCTTGGTGTGTTCATGAAGGAAAGCAGGGGGCCGGAGGCTCAAAGACATGACTCAGGCCAGCGAAGACTCCAGTCTGTTGAGTGTGATATGACCCTGATATGTTGCGATCACGTACCTGCATTTTCTGGGAGCAGGACAAGAGGCTAAGCCGAAGACTTCATCCATGAGGGCATTTTGTTCGACAGCCTTGAAAACTTAGGATGGACAACTGCCCGCCTATGATCCCTTTACCAGACCTTTGATGTTGCGATCGGGTCGTGTGCAAATAGCACTGCGATGACAAATATTCCTCGATCTCCGGGTGTGCGTATATACATAAAAAATACATAGATATACAAATTATACATATATATATATATATATCTGTGTGTGAACTGTCCTACGTCAAAGGAGGTCAATCTGCAACGTCCTGCATATGTCTGTGTTGCTCGCAACTTCGATCTTCGAGGACATTTCAGTCTGTATAGGGGCGTCAAGCCCATCATATTTACCTGACGCAACGAAGCTAAGATATGATGGGGGAAACACTGGTTGGCCACCAATGTGTACCTGCAATTTTGGTTGTGACATCTTCATATTGATTCATAGTCTTTTACCCTTGGCTGCTGCAGGCAATCAAGTTGAGCACGCATGCACGTTTGCTGCACTCTGCTTGCATGTTAGGAAAACAGGTGGCGCATGCATGTGTCAGGCAGGGCATTCACTCAGCATTTTCTGACAAGAAAAAGCCAACCATGTGTGCAACCAATATTGAGAAGATTTGTCTGTGAGTGAGTATGTGATGGGCAAGGATGTGGGTGAATCTACTCAGTCTGCGATAATCGATCTGCGCAAAGCCAGGGATTGCAGCTTCAAAATGTGGGTAGGAAATTTCGGGTTCCGGTACTTCTTGATTCTATATTGTCTTAACGAACCTTAAATCCTCGTACGACTCCCCCGGAGTCGCTGCACTAGCTTGCGTCCCAGTTTGCCGCCCCCATATGCAGCATAAATCGCTCGGGTAGTACAGTTGTCATTTGTGATGTTTGGACTTTGGGTCTCCCGCAGATTGAAGCCACAGGATTTGGAAACTAAGATGAACACCTGACTGTCAGCCATCGAAAGTATGCTGGGCACGGATATGCCGAGGTGACCATGACGAATGTCCTGTCGTCCCTCCAGTTGCTCATCAAATGTTTGATGGCAAGTATCGATATGCTCTTCTGGACGTTCTGCTTGCTTACCTTCTTGCAGTGCGTGGCGGGCATGATCGTCAGCACGCTCTGCCGCGACTTCATTGAGAACCCAGAATTCCTCCTCGCGACACGTGAAGAAGTTTACCGTTATTATGGTAGCTTTACACGCATCTCGGTCCACTTTGACGGAAGCTAACTTGTTTGGAAGAGACGTGAGTGATGTGTTGGGACAAGCAAAACAAGACGTGCTTCCGGTTGATGTGGCTTCGTTTTCTGAACACTCTTATCCCTAAGCATTATATCCGGAACTTGCAACCGTCAATCCCAAACTCTCAACCTTAAACACTTCGAAGTCTATCCTAAATGCCGAACACCTGATAATTAACACAATAAGCTTGTAAGGTTTTGCTGCTTGGTTTTACCACGACATTTAAGGTTCTTTTGTTCTTCTCAAAAGAACGCTTGAGGTACTTTTTTGACCATGTTTGAAATATTATTCGCGAATTGGGCCCCACCCTGTAGAGTCCTCGTGGACAACGTGAGCGATCTCTGGGCGACAAAAGTACATGTTTTGTTTTATGCATGGAAATTACCACCAGCATATCTGGTTTAAGAGTTTGTCAGTTCGATAGCAGGAGCAGAACCACAGAACAGATCTGCAGCACGAGCTGCGCGACTCAGGAATGGTTCTCTCTGTTTTTCCTGGTCTACCGATGCATCATTGGATTTGCAGTGTTGCCCGGCTGCCATGCAAGTAGAACAGCTGCAGCCCGTTCTGAGGGCCCTGAAGATGTTAAAGCAACTCCGATCGTGGGTGTTTTTTCTGAACTGCCAGCTCAAATGTGTTGTTCGGTGATGTCCATGTTGCACAAGTAAGCCAGTGTGCCAACCAAGGTTGAATGTCGTAAATGCGGTCTTCGTGCAGCAGACCATGAAAACAGCTAGCTTCGACGAAGAGCTGGCTTTCAAACAGAAGGAGAGGGACGTCATAACATACACCAACAAGGTTCGAAGGCGGGGCCTTTGGGTTTAGGGTTTAGGGTTTAGGGTTTAGGGTTTAGGGTTTAGGGTTTAGGGTTTAGGGGCCGAAGGCTCCGAACCCGAAGCCCTGAAGATGAGAAGACTCTCGTTGCCCTTCGTGAACCTAGCGATTGCTGTGTCAGCTAAAACCACAAAGCCCCTAAACCCTAAGCCCTTAACCC